CCTGACGGCTCTCAGCTGAAGCCGGGAGAGCGCCTGCGTACGTGAGGATTACGGCGCATTCGCCGCCTCTTTCAGAGCCAGAGGCCACGGGGAGATTCAAGACGACGACGACCCACTGCCGGCAGTTGGGAGGCAAAGGGAAGATCTCATGAACCCAGCTGTGGGTATTTGCATCCGATGCAGAGGATGGGATTGCGGGTGCCTTAATTCAAAATGACATCTGCATTTCCAGAAGGAGAAAATATTCTTTGTGCAGCCGAGATCCAGCGATCTCAAGTATTTATCAGCTCCACAGATCCTGCCCAGAATGCAAACTACTGGCTTTTGTTTGAGCCCAGACAAACTAGGCTGCCCCTTTATAATTAGTTTGAGATAAGTCAGGCCATGCTATTAAATGATTAGATGACCTTTCATCCGAGCGGGGACTTCAGCCCGCTGGATTCCTTCAGAATCAGCAGAAAAAAAAGTTATTGGATTTCTGAAGGAGAAAAGGCAAAGCCTCCCCGAGAGCGAGGGGACTGAAAAACGTACAGAGCAGCAAAAATGTAGGCGATTGGGGAAAGTATCCTAAATTAACAAGAACAAAAAAAAAAAAACCTTCCAAAAAGGACATGTCCGAGTCCCCTGGACACCAGGCAACTCCCGAATCCCAGCGCTCTGTTTCCCTGCCAGCTTGCACCATGGCTGGGTGGCAAACAGAAATAACCCCCGTAAGCCACAGCTGGGGGAGCGATGCGGGGGAATAAGAAGCCAACTAATCCCCAGCAGGTTATGGAGTTTGTTTCTGCTTTCGGTGCTTACCCTGTGGTGTGACGGAGCGTGCTTCAAACCTGCACAACAACGTTTCTTTACCCTGAGGCTTTATCCTAAAGTCAGGCTTGAGTGAGAGGTAAATGGTGCTGGTGCTTCCTACCGACGGAGCAAGGTTCATCCCTGCAAATTCCAGCTGTGGCGTGGGTGGTAGTAGAAGACAACCTGGTCAAGGGTGTGAGTCCCTCAAATATGTTCTACTTACTTAGTCCCAGTACTCATTTTTCTTGGTTTGGTTTCTAAACCTTAAATTGTGGTCTGATATTTGAAATTCTTGATGTTTTCCCTGGATCAGTTGGAAGCTGGTGAAAATGGCCACCTCCAAACTGACTCCAGGACGGCAGGTTCAGAGCCGCCCCAGCTGATCCCGCTCTGGAGGCTGCTGCTCATTTGTTCTTCTCAAATTAAAGCTGGCCCTTTGTGCCCCTCTTGGATTTGCAGATGCTACAGGAGAATCAGGTGAGCTTTGGGTGCTGAGCTGTGTTTCCATGTGGTGTCCATTTGCCCCACAGGAGCGTTGCTGTGCTTAGATTGGACATTGGGAAAAATTCCTTCCCCAAAAGCTGTCAAGCGCTGGAAGGGGCTGCCCAGGGAAGGGGTCGAGTCCCCAGCCCTGGGGGGATTTAACAGCCGGGCAGAGGCGGTGCTGAGGGCCGGGGTTTGGGGGTGGGATGGCAGGGGTAGGGGAGCGGTTGGGCTGGGGGAGCTTAAAGGGCT